ACCGCGTGTCTTTCTAGCCCTTGCCTATTAATTCCTGATCATGTCCTAACATCGGAGCCTCGCTGAAAAACAAGAATAAATACAAATTAAAGACTTGAATTAACGTAACGCTAACAAAATAATATACAACACATGAATAATAACCTAATATAAATATTCATTATCACCNAAATGCGCTCTCTGTCACTCACTGCAGTGAGTACTGAGTTAGATTATTTTTTAGTTTGATTCAGAGAATGATCTTATACTGTCGATTTATTTGCAATATATATATCGCAGAACTGCGTTTGCAACGTCGCTCCGTGTCGTCGTCTAAGGTTTAACAAAAGCTTCCTTGCGATCTAAAGAAGAGGTAATACCGCATCTCGGAAATTTATCCTACAATGCCGTAAATGTTGCTGGGATAATTTGTTTTGAATATTTATTTATAATAATCGTTTATAATGGGCGTTTGCAGCTAAGGTACATCAAATTTAATTAAAAATCATGTTAATCCTGTTTACTTAAAAAATGATTGTTGTTATAGGAGCTGATTAAAGGAACGATCGTTCCCTCTGCGTGGACTAATGCAATGTGCTGGTGTAATATATACCGATTACGTCTTTAGACCGATTTCAAAACATAACAATCATGACATGTTTTTTCCAATCGTTGAAGTGAGAGGTTTAGGTTTGCTTAGCGCAGTCAGTCATGCGGCTGGATTTGTTCTTGTCTTGCTTCCTAGTTTGACGATCGCTGTTTGTTGAGGTTGTTTGTCTCAGTAAACGATGCAGTTACACGTGACATCGTTCGTTCGTTCATTTACCAAATGATCTCTCGCCATTGTTCGCTTCCAGAGACTGTGTTGGTTTACAGGAACTTCCGGAATTGCATTAGATTGTGATCTAACCTTTTGAAGCTTCTATAGAAATTGCAGCACGTTCGATGAGCTCACGCAATCGAATTCTCGACGACGTTTGCATTTCTGTTATCCCATGAATTGTATTCTGTATACAGGACATATTTGTAATCATAATATATAATATATATATACACATAATACAAGTTATATAATACAAGTTATATGTTAACATATAATAAAATACATAACATAAAACTTTAAATGCGGCGAATTCATTCTGAATTTCCATACAAAATATCTTCAATTTCGGTTCACTGTAATTTCTTTCACGTGTTTTTATGCGCAGAGTATCAAATTATTTTGAAAAAAAATTCGTTTGCTATCTAGAAGAATGATTTGAACTGCTTATGTCTAGGCTGGCAGAGCTTAACCTTTCTTGGTTATTCAAGTCACTTAAATATTCAAAGGCATATATCATTAGTCTGCTTATATCGCAAGTTCACAAGGAATTTAAAAGCAAAGAAAACGCCAAGAAAATTCACCATATCGATATTGAAAACGTTTCGGAGTCCAGCTCCATCATCAGTTCGACTAAACTAAAAATGAATAAAATCACTTTAAAAGTCAAAATTCAAAGACAGACATAAAACCTAAACAAGACCTAACATTATATCGAAATAAACAGGACTAGTTATGTACAACTTAGTNAGGTTTTATGTCTGTCTTTGAATTTTGACTTTTAAAGTGATTTTATTCATTTTTAGTTTAGTCGAACTGATGATGGAGCTGGACTCCGAAACGTTTTCAATATCGATATGGTGAATTTTCTTGGCGTTTTCTTTGCTTTTAAATTCCTTATATTCAAAGGCATCGTGAATAATAATACATGAAAAAAATTCCACATTAACATTAATTTGCAACGACCATATTACTTTACTTGACCTGTTTTAACTTCTAACTCGAGTTTCGGAGTAAGTTTCATTTTCGCATCGAACTTTCGAGGCTATTCACTTACATGTGATTTAGGTGACAACCTTTGCATATTGGGATCTGTTTTTCCCGGTATAAAGCTACGCTGCACAGGACTTTATTTACCGACTGATTTTGCTAAAGAGAATCAACTTTTTCCCCAGGAGGTTCAAGCTATTTTAATTTAAAAGTGTTTTCTAGCCTTTGTGAAAGACTTTGGCTCTTCCACGTGTCTGCTGAAAGAAACGGTGAGTACGATATTGATTTTTTTTCTGCATGTACTGAGATACATATATATTCTTAAGTAAGTTTTTACCTATTAAAAAGAACAGTAAGCACCTTACTGATTATTATCTGCATGTATTGATGACTAATAATTTTATGCATGTGCCAATTATTAATCTTCTTACGACTGAACCTGAATAACGAATCTTCAACCCTTGACTGAAGACGGGACGCAAGATTAAAAATGACGTAAAGCGCTGCTCCTTATATTCTCATAATACATTATAAATTAGAAACTAAAACATCTTAACTTGAGAGAACATAAGTTACCTTTTCGAAAATTTCAGAGTTCAGTATTGCGTACATAATTGAAGAATAAATATCGACAGGTCGTGATGAAAAATGAAGAATCTATACCACAAATAATCTTAAAGAAAATTTAGATTGAAACTTCTAATAATGTTTAAAGTTAATTCGGAAATAGTGACGCTCATATTATCCTAATAAAACATTGTTACACGCTCTTCCTGGAAATTATTTAACGAAAAAGAATTAAATGAAGTGCTCCTAATTAAATTTAATCGAACTAATGGAGAGGATAGAATTCGCGGACAATAGCCGGCAGCGATCCGAAGCACCATTGTCATGGCTAATAATTTCTGGTATATTAAAAGCAAATAATATATAATTATATAGCTCCATTTCCGTACATTATACTTTATATTGCGTTGGTATTAACAATGTGTGGAAGAATAAATTATATAGCGCATTTGCACCTGACTTTACATGTAGGCCCGTCAGTTAATTCTTCGGAAATAAATTGAATTGATCAAACTCGCGTTTTAAAATATCTGACCTTAATTTCGAATATTTTTCATTAATGCTGAAAATTAAATAAATGACTTAAGGCCGATATCCAACATTTTGATCGATAGGGCAATGAACTGTTAAAAATTTGTGAGTGGTTTTGCCGCCACGTGTGCGCTACAAATTCTTTAAAACGGAATACGGAGCCTAGTGAACACGAGTTTAAGTAGATCAATTCAGCATCAAATGCGGTGCTCTTTGTGTTGAGTGATACAGATCACTGTTGTTTCAAGTTGAATACTTTAATTAGACTCATTAAGGGTCTGAAGTAGTACTAGTGGAGTACCAATTAAAACATCAATGGCGTAATTGGGCTTCTCAGTCGTCAAAAGACCACCAATAACCTTGAACACCCTTGATTTCTACGAGCTCTAATCAGCTGTGCTGCACTCTTTGTTTCAAGTGAGACGAAAATATTTAACGTAATTTAACTATATATTCATACACTTATTATATGTTATGTCATACATGCACTTATTCGGTAATGCTTATTATCGATTCAGTTCACTCAGACGTGTTAGGAATTCTATGTCATGGATGAATTGGATTCATAAGTAAATATGCAACACGTAAAAATATAATCTCAAGATATTATATTTTTTGTTAGTACTTCTTTATTCAGGTTTCCACACACGTAGAAATAAATTTTGAACATCGAATCTGAGTTAAGTAAAGGAGTAACTCAAGTTAAGTAATTAACCTTCCTAAGTAATTATCCTATCCTTAATTATTATTAATAATTAGTAAAATTAGCGTAGGGTGCAGCACCGAATGTAAGGCCCATTTTCGTTTATAAATCCTATTATTGCTCAAATTTGACTTTCACGTACTTTTTTCCGACTGTTCCTCATAATGTGACAAAATAAAATACAAGAACTGAATTACAGACACTGACTGATTTTGCATTGAACAGCACGTGCAAGTTTGACGTCCTTCACATGCCTGTGAAAATGATGCTTGGGTAAAAAATACTTATTAATTTATTAATCAGTATGACACATTTGGCCAATGAATAGAATACTATTCTTAACTGAAGTATTTTTTAATTGTTCGCAACGTTTATTTTCTGTTAAATTAAGAAATTTGACTGAATTCGCTTGTCAGAAAATTCTAACTCGTTGTTTAGTTTTTGTTTGATGAATGTTATGAGTTTTGTGCATTTTTCATTAACCTGCGCAGTGTTTGTTTTAATATTTAGCGTTTGGAAAACTAATTTGGTATTAATTGTAAATTTTATATAGTTTAGTTTCGGAATTCTTTCATAAAAGTTATTCTAACTTGCGGCATGAAATATTTAATTGATTAATTTACAATCATAAAATTCTATTTATTATTAAATATCAGTCAAAACTGAAATACCCAATTAGTTAACTAATTAAGCATTGACTAAATAAATAAATACGAAAAGTTTAGTGGGCTGTTGGATGATTTATCATTCAAATGCTGAATAATATTAATTCAAATATGCTCATTTAACATGATCATAGTTCTTCAGCTTTTAAGCTATATTAGATCGTTATGCATCAATTCTATAATAATGAATATCAATAGTTCATATATATTTTTGAATGATAATTCAGTGGGCATATAACATCCTCAGATGCACACGTGCATGAAATTATTATAGAATTAAAGTTTTACGGGCATTTAATTTATTTATTGTTGATAAGAAATTAAGGCCCAAAGCGTCAAAGGCAAGTCTGATTTGATAAAATATTTGCATGAAACGTCTTTAATCAAGCCAGTGACTGGCATGCAAGCTTGTTTGTTCTATAAGGACAACATCTTTCCTAGTCTCAAGAAAGCCTTCAAAGAAGACAAAGACGTGAAACTTTTCATGAGTTTTCATTAAGGTTCGTTTGTCTTTGAAATGAACGCCAACACCAAACAAAAGGGAAGTTGGCGGAGTTTTATTCACGTGGGTCTTTTAATATTTGGAAATCTTAGCGTTTGACGGTTCAGTGAGTAGCAGAATTTTTGTCTGAGACTTCATTGTGAGCGTTGAACTTGGTGCTCATTGTGAGCGATGAACTTGGTGCTCATTGTGAGCGTTGAACTTGGTGCTCATTGTGAGCGTTGAACTTGGTGCTCATTGCAGACCGATCCTCTTCAGCCGTGGTCACATCAGCTCAGTTCAGGCTGAGCACGTATACGGTGAGAGGAGACGCTCTCCTGTACCACAGCACCGGTAAGCCATCAGCGTCAAAAATGTCTTGCAAATATGCACGTTTTTATAAGGTAATTCGTCTTCATTGCCATTCGAATATGCGTGTTTTTCTCACTTGATTCCTCGACGATGCTGCTCAACAAGACGAAAGTTATCGGTTAACAGGTAATTTTTAATAAAAAATGTCTGTCTAATAATTTTAATTACCCATACATTCCTTGCATTCAATATTTTAAACGAAAATTCTCAACTGAAAACACTCTGAGCTCAATGAATTCATGTATGTTTATTAATACTGGGGTAGGTTCCGTAGGAAGTGTGAATGTGAATGTCGAAAAGTTGAATTCATTTCAATGCAAATTAATTTTCACACGCAAATAGCTAACACACCAGAATGAAATTTACGAATACTTTCGCTAAAGATCTGAAATAAACACAATCAAGTTTACGCTGAATTAGCACTCACGTCTGTTCATTCACATGATTCAATTATTCACAACTCTGACTCTGAGGCACCTGATGACAAGATAAATTAATCTCTCTGCTTCTAGTGCGTCAGCCGAAATTCACATAATGCAAATGTCGAAAAGAGTTATGTAAATAAAAAAATGTTGAATAATTAAAATAACGGTGAAAACCCAATTTACACTTACCGTTTTTACTTATATTTTTACTTATATCAGTTTGTTCTCAACTTCTGCTTCCATTTCCAATGTATTATTTTAAAATTTCCCTATTTTCTGCCCAATTCACATATAGAATACGTGTTAAAGATGCAATATCAATTCATATACATACCTACAGCCTGGCACGGGTCATTCGATTGGGCTGTACAGCTGGAGTCTCATACGAGGGTTGCATGGAAATAGTTTTGACTTGGAAATTCAACGCCCGCGTGCAGGTCTCAGCATCGAATTCATGAAATTAAAATTTGATTTTCTTCCCAGAATCTCAAATTTGCATCGCTCGCCTCATCGAATCCAACATGGAGTAAATTAAAAATTGCTAGGATTCCTTCGAACGCTATGGGGTTGCTGAAATATTGTACATTTTGAGATTTTTTTGCCTAAATTCCTGTAGAGTTGTTGCCTCATAAATATGACGTAGTTCATCAATATTTGCGCATGTCATTAAACTAATTCGTTAGAATTTTTTGGGCCATTTTGTCTATTAAAAATGTGAACAAATCTTCATTCTTAGTGAAAAACTTGTGACATTTTTCATGGGTATTTTCGATGGAATTAACGCAATTTTCAGAGGTAGCGGTGACGCCGTCCTTAAATTTCATTTTTTTCTGCATTTGTCTGATTTATTTCACAGATGACATTTAGGAGGTTGACCAGCATTCATGTCTACGAAAATTTGCTCTCGTTTTCTTAATTAACATTATTCGAAATACAAAATTTAACAGGTTTCACCCAGAATTCGATTCAATTACGTGTGACTAGCCCTAGCAACTTCCTCTAATTTCCAGTTTACAGGTGCCAGGATTGGCTCTTTGTCTTCATTGTGTGTTTTGTTTCTCGCCTATACTTATGTCCGCCCTCACGTATAAATTCATGTAAATTATCAATAAACAAAAAGATATATCTTATCATTGGAGGAGAGCTGACGCACTGAAAACTTCACATATATATACTTGCCGTATTTTGGCACGTGTGGCTAAAGGGAAGGACTCGGCCCCGAAATTCTCGTCTCGTAAACCGATTTGTAAAATCTCTCTTTATGTCGAGCAGCGTTGCTGGGAGCAGCTCAGCTGGCACCTGTTTACAATCCATTCGGCGGTAGCAAGGATGACAAGCCGACGCCTGCTCAAGAGCAGAAAGCGAAGCCTGAAGCTCGCGAACTAAAGACAGGAGGGCCCAGTAAATTCGTGACAAAAACGGTCTACGGGTTTCTGGACTTCACAACGACTGTTGGGTCTACTATCATGGTCTTCTCACCGAAATCTGGTGAGGCGAGCTAGTGATAGTCAGATATTCTGATGCAGAGATAATTTGTATCAACGGGTCAAATCTTCGTTGATGTTGGTAATTATTTTCAAGTATTGTCAAATTGCATAGCTTTGAAACGTGATCTGTACTTGTGCTTTCGAATATCGCATAGGAACATTAATTTTTTTTTGTTTTATATCGAAATAACAACAAGCTGCTAATAGTCTCTCTCAGGTGTCAGACATTATCGATATTGCTACCACTTTGCAGGAATTTAAGGTGATCCCATAATATTTTTAAAAAATGCCACTGCTACCAAAATTTTAGATAATAAAATTTTAGCAGAAACTTTTAGTTAAGAAAATATATTTTGTATCTATACAGTATATGAATTTTTCAGAGTCGAAAGGTGAAAAGGAAGTGAAGCCATCGCCCAGTCGATTCATCGTCGAAGCAACTCCGACCCCTCAACAGCCGCGTGTGGTCGCAGCCGTCAATCAGAAAACCGTCATTGCGTCCCCAGTGATACTCCAGTCATCCATGACAGAGATCGCCAGTCCATCTGTAGTGAAGTCGTCGCAGCCCACGAACGTGATCACTGCAATTCCTGAACCTGCCAAAAAGCCAGGCCCAAGACCATTTAGGTTTGGTCAAATCGGGGACGCTAAACGACGTGACCCTAAGCCACCTCGACGTCATTCAAGTAATGGCGACAGAAGGCGATTAGATTTTTCAGGCTTTAGAAATACAAATTCTGAAGGAGGATCTACTATTTCTCCTATCACAGTTACTGGAACTAGAGTTCCGTTGCCCAGTGCGGCTCAGACTCTCCGCGTTACACCATCTGAAGTTGTAGTTACAGCGAAACAAAACTTTGCATCTTTGAGCATCATTGACCGATTCACGAACGCCATCGGTGGTAAGCCGACGAAGAATAACGACAATGAGGATTCGCCTAGCCGGCAGCAGGAATTTAAAATCAATCCGGATCCTATCATCGGAGACAGCGGTTTGCCTCCCACTGGACTCGTAACTACACTTGGTGGTACTTTGATCGCCGGAGGATTGACAACAGTACACGAAACTTCAGTAATTGGAACGTACATCAAAGGCCAGTACGCTCAGGTGCTTCTCAGTACATCCCGTATCTTCCAGACATCAACATCAGCTGGTTTGTTTGATGCTGGTGTCGAGACTGTAAAATCTGTAATAAAGGGTTCTGCAACTCAGTTCATTAATCCCGCCTCCAGCGTAGCACTGCCCTTAGAGGCGCTTTTTACGGCTTCAAGCGCTTCTCGGGATGGGAGACTAGACGACCAACCTGTCTTCCTCAAGAGAAGAGGTCCGCCACGAACCGAATCAAAGGATGACCCGTACGTTGACGGGTTGAATGAAGATGAAGATGACCTGCAGCGATCTGGTACCGATAACCGTCCTGTATTTAAGCCAGTGGGTGCCTCGTTTAAAAGTAATATCAATCGCCCTAAAGTTCAGGAAAATGATAGTCCAACAACATTCCGTCCTCGGTTCACGCCAGCTTCATCTTTTAGATTTGGTGATACTAAAACTGCCTCTCACCGAACTACTCCTCCGAGAGATCGAAATGGCAAGAGACCATTCGAACGTCGTAGACCTAATGGTGTTAATCGCCCTAAAATTATAACTAATCGCAGACCAGTAGAAGAACTAGTTGAAGAAGAGGCCACCCAAGTTGTGAACGAGCCACTCGTCCAGCCTACCCCTACACTTCCTCCTACTGAGAACGACGGTGATGAAACGCTCAACGTACAAAAGAGTAAAGTTGGTGATAAGTGGATTGAAATAGCCACCATCAGATCAATGCATACGTTCAAGGTGGGTGCTAAGAAGAATACTCGCTTCGTGACCTTTACCAAAACATACACCCACGAAGTTGAGCCTACAGCTTTCTATCCCCGAACATCCAATGTCAGAAGGGATGATATCAATACAAAATCTTACCTCGAAGAAAATTTTCAGTCTTCCCCACTGTTCGAAAATATTCTTGCATCATCTAAATCGTTCGCAACGCTACCTCCTGTCGATATCGGAGAGGGTAATTTGAACGCAATTCTCCAAACAGTTACAGAGTCATTCAGTACAACCGAAACAGTTCTCAAGACATCAGTGCTACCAGTACGAAAAGAACATCTGACTATGCAACACACCCTCACTCAGACATATTTCATTACAAGGATCGTTACGGCAATCAAAACCATTCCTCCAGTGGAGGCTTTTGATTTCATCCCTGAAAATTCATTGAATGAATTTAATGACAAACTGCTAGCTGAGGGCACTGAAAATGACGAATCGCTTCTACCAGGAGAGTTAGAGTATGATGAGAACAGCGAAACTCGTATCAAGCCTCCTTCCGGCTTCCGCCAAAAAGATGCATCTCTTGCTGAACTTGTCGGCGATGAAGTCGATACAGATGCTTTAGATGAGAAATTGAACCCTCAATTTTCTGCGGCACTCAAGGGTACTCCTCAACTGCAATCTGGTCAGACTCTAGCACCAGAGTCAGTCACTAAAGCCACGCCTCAACTTTCTCCGGAGCAACTCCAGCAACTTGCCTACCTACAACTTATGAACCCATACGCCTTTGGAGGCTTTCCTGCTGCTCTACAGCCTCAGGTGTCTGTGACATCGTCACCTGTGACTATCACTACAGACGTAACTACGACTACAACAAGAGTACTGCGTGTCATCTTCAATGCTCGCCCAATTTATACGACTTTGACTAGTACCGAAGTGGTTCGAACGACGCTTACGACTTACGAATCTACCACAGTGACCGCGACAGCACCTCCACTCTTCGGCGGGTTCCCTTTCCAAGGGATGCCGTTTCCAGCAGGTTGATTTCTCTCGTTGATACTCAGCAGATTCTCCTCACTCCTTATTTTTAAGACACGTGAAAAGTGGCGTGAATGTCAAAGTGAAGATTTGATTGAAAGCAACGTTTTTGAATTTAAAAAATTGAGCACAATTGAGTAATTTTTTTGAACGTTTTATGTTTACACATTTTCCCGGACCCGGATTGAAGAAAATCGTTGGTACCAGAAGTTTTCTGTTGTGCTTATGCACAATAAGTTTCATCCCTCTGTACGAGATTCCAAACCAAAAGATAGAAACAACTTATACTTTTTTAAATTTAATTTCTTAAAAAAGAATAAATTCTAATGACCGACACGTTTATTGACGTTTTTGCTCCATTATTATATTATTATATAGCGTGACAAAATACGATTTTATTGGCAAATACAAGTGTCGTGTCTGAAATTTTCCTAAGACTTCACTTTCTTCATGTGAAAAATTCGTTCACTAACTTTACTTATAAACCAGTTTATGTCAAAGCAAACATGAGAATGAGTGTATTGCGATGGATGAGATGCTCAGATTATCTTTAATTTTAAGAGTATGATCATGATGCTAGAAAATAATTAAACGGCAATTGTCCCATCTAAAGTATGATAAATTTTATTGAGGCTGCAGGAATTCAAACAAATAGTTAAAGGTTTGCCGCTGAATTTGCTTGAAATGACCGCAACGAACTAATATGATTTTCCACGAAGAAAAGTTAAACGGAATAACATTGTTTTGTTACGCCAACTTACGAACATGAGTAACACCCCTGATGTTAAACTAAATTATTTATGAGAATCCTGTATGCATAATATTTTTTTCAAATTCAAGAGCTGATGTTATTTTTTATTCCATAATCTGCTAAAAGAAGTTTTTTTCTGTATTCATGACTATATTTTGACTTATTTTAGGACAGAAATCAGTTTTGTATAAAATCTGCTTCAAAAATTGTCACGCTTCTAATATTATGCAGAAGTTTTTAAATTTCAAATTTTCTGGCATAAACGTCATATCTTACGATTTCTATCAAGTAATTACAAATTTAAATTCTTAATTTTAGTCGAGTGATTTTTTTCTAAAATATGGTTCATTTTTACTCGTTAAATTCTTGGCCTCTGGAAAAATTGAGCAAAAATAGCATTTCTGTTATTCAGGGCTTCATCTAATGTACAATGTACATACTTGTATATACAATCCGTAACTTCCGTGTCTTGGATTTTGAAGAAACTTACTCATAGTATACACACAAAGATTATTCTATTATTTTATTATGTGTACTTATTTTCCTATTTTCTATTATAAGTTTGTTTTTAAAATCTCACTTCATCAGTCGATTTTGCTAAATTGTTCAGTACGATCACTACATTATTACTTTTTCAGTCCGAAATTCCTTTCTTTAATAGCAATGCAAGAATCGAAAACGATTTTTGAACGATTATTTTAAGCAGTGGTTCTCAAACTTTTGCAGGCTGGCGCCCCCTTGGCTTTCCAGTTAATTTCTAGCGCCCCCCCCCCAACAGAAACATTTGAATTTCTAGCGCCCACCAGATTTCGAATATTTTCAAAAATTTACTATAGAGACGCAGGAGACAACCAAAAAAAACAGATCTGGATTGAAAAACCCATCGCTGGAAGCCATGTGCTGCAGGTGTTGCGTACAAATCGTCAAACAAACGTATGAACTTCTGACTTCGAGCTCGGACTGCTGCCCCCGTACCGCCCTTTCTACCTCACCGCCCCCCAGGTCTTTACACCGCCCCCAGGGGGGGGGGTACAGTCCACTTTGGGAACTGATATTAAAAGTGTATGAATATATCATTTTAACCAGAAATTCCAATTGCCACTAGGAGGGATATAAAACTAGTATCATGTTAAAAATTTTATATCACTAAATAGCTCTTTTCCTTGTCGAGACCACTAAATGTCTGAAAAAAAAATAAACAAGAAAAAAATCTTTTGAAAAATAAGCGATTGAAAAAATGCATCTAGGGTCTCAACAAAGCAGTTTATTAATGGATAAGGAAAGTTATATCAGTTATTGCGAAAGCTGACAATAAATGCACGCTACAAGAACCCTTCAAAAAATTGTCACTAATTTTCACTAAATTTAATAAGTTTAGAATACTTAGTTCTCAAAATGAGGCATAATTTCAACTCACTACAAAACTGATTAGCTGTACAGGAAATATACAATTCATTCACTCTACGAATAGCGTGCAATACATTACATTGGAAAAGCGCAGGAGCATTCAAAGTACTGGTAGAATTTTTTTACAAACCACTTCACAATAAGCTTATGCGATTCCTCACGAATAAGACTTATGACTGGTACGGATTATAAGTTACGAGCTGACTAATTGTATAAAATAAGCTACTAAGTAAACACTGTTATCTAAATCCATTCAACAACATTGATTTTAAAGCTATTTTTAGATTATTGTGAAAAGCTATGAACTTAGCTTTAAATCAACGCAAAAATAAAATGAAACCTAGCCGAATCCGTGCACTTACTTCTAGCCTTCATATTTACATAGAGATTAAAATCAGGAAGCTGAAAGTTACTTCGGTACAAGTCTAAAAAACTGCTCAAAGATGGAGCTGTGCTTTTTGTCAAGGGTCGGGAAAGCTCTTACCTAACTTTCTTTGAACTTGTCCCGACTTTTGACGAGAAAACCAAGAAAAATCGATTCGAGAGCCTCTTGAAACTCCTTTGACACTTTTCGGTTACACACCATCTCAAGATCATGTCTAACCCGACGATGAACTTCAAAACTAAGCTAAATATGCTGTCAGAATGAACAGCCTATACAAGATTCCCAGAGTTACCACGGTAAGGTTTAAATAGAGACTAAATTCTTGCCTCTGAATTATAAAGAAAAGTTCAGTTGCATATATATAACAGCGCATATATTCCAGAAATAACTAAATGATTATGAATGATTAATTTGGGATGTGATGGGTACAATTAAGTCCTAAATTATCTATACGAGTTCTTCTGGAATCGAATGAATGAATACTTCCTCCCAGATCAAATTTATAACGTCAAAGCCCAAGCGCAAGTCAATGCGTATTTCTAGCAGCGAGAATTTTTAACCGAGTTTTGCAGGTATCTTTCATTTGGCTCTATATACTACACTCGTGATTTATCTAGAAGCCCAAAGTATCACTGAAGTCTTGAATTAGCTTTAAAAATATTAAAGGGACCTAAATTTAACAGCCAAGAATTCATTATTGCCGTTTTAACGCTCAAGGAGAAGGCTTGACGCGCACGGTTACGCTGGTCAGGACCAACGGAACACGCGTGTTGTTCTCCAGCGCCCACCACGTGATGAACGAAGCGTTCAACCTGTCGGGCGGCTCCGGGTACACACCGTTTAGGTGGGCATCGTAGCAGCTGCAAGACAGAAACCAATATATCTTAACACTTTGACTCCGATTACTTCATCTTGTCCTATTATTCAATTTTTGGACTATTTTTAAACAGGGTTGCCAAGCGGTCATTTTTCCCGGAAAAATTCCGTGATTTAGTTTTTCTCAATTGCGTTCGCCGGCTAAAATTTATGATAGGGGTACTTCCTAGTTAAATTTTAAATACTGCAAAAAGAAAATAAATGGAATTTTCATAGCGAAACCTACAAATAAACTAGTATATATTGAGTTATCGGCCTTTTTTGGTCTTTTTTGTTCTCGGATTTGGCCGATTTTAAGCAACCTGAATTATGTACCACTACGTCCTGGAGAAATACATTTCGTGGTATACGCATATGTACCACTTCGGTACACATATTAACACTTCGTGTTAATATGTATATACATAATGTATGTATAATAAATATGTATATACATATTACAAAATATAATGTTGAGTAATATAGTATAATATAATATACTGAGTTATAAGAAACAGCGAGAGATAGCGATGAAAGATCATATGGATTAATGCGCTGAACGAAATACAATGAAATTTAATGCTGAGAATTCTGTAGGCAGCAGATGCCTTTGCACTTATAGGTATTTAGCAAGAAAATTTTAATTGCAAATTTTAAGATTAATCTTAAAAATGAGGTTGTAGGTTTTTCTGAATTAATCACTGATTAAGTTGCACTGAAGTAGGATATTCATTAAAACGAGGAAAACATTTTTATTGAATTTAACAGGAAGAAAGGCATCCATTGATGGGTGATTGGAAATCTTTTTTTTTTTTGTTCCGTTGGGACCAGTTGGGAAGCAGTACTGTTATAGGAAAATGTTGTCATATACAACTTGATCTCAGAAAGGTCATTTAATACTCGCGGGTTGTACAGAGAATACTACAAGAATGAATACTGCAATACACTGCATGAAATCATGCAGTGTCTCCCCGCTCAAATTACAATATGTATTTGTAGATTATCTACCTCGATTATGAATCTTTCAGTTATTTGCTTGAGATATTTCGAAGATGGAATTGCATTTCCCGCCATTTATCATTTAATTCTTGAAAACTTATTTTTATTTTTATTATCATAGTTTCAAAACATAACCAAAATGATCGATGCAAGAATATTTTCGTTAGATTCAGAGAAAAGCATCTCTTGTATTATCGTTTGCACTGTTGGTTGAATTTTTTGTCGGAAAATCGCTGTATCGTCGGCACGAGTTACAATTTAAAAACGAAATGAATTTTTTGATACAGCACAAATACTTTCTCTGACGACAAGAGTTTCTTTCTTTAGGGCATCCACAAGAAAAAAGTCACTCACTTCTCATACCACCATCCGCCGCTGAAATAAGATGCACAGTTGCCCGCTCCATAAAGGTCGTTGTCTCTGTCGTTAGAGGTAAAGGGTCGGCCGTGGTGGTAGCTGAACGCGTCCGTTGTGTTGCCCTTGAATTCGCCCAAGTCCAGTGCGTAGAATGAAGCTTCGTTGCCTACCCGAAAGGAGCTGCTCGCAGGACCAAATTAGTTTGCAACGTGGTGGAAATGTTGATATCAAAGCAAATATAGTTGAGCTATTTTAATACGAAGGATAAGGCAATAATGCTGAAACGTATCATAGTTGAAACATTTCATAATCAAATTTGTCGTTTTCGTAGTTTTATTATATTAAAATGGGAATCTCGGCCCACTATTAACGAACATTTATGAAATGGGCGTGAAGAAATTTCTAGTTATTTTAAATCGAAACGAATTTCATACGAAGCGTGCAATCCGACATGTGAGCCCTTTGTCCAACTTGCTTGTCCCTCAGCGCCCTTGGCTTTGCTTCTCACATCCTGCTTTATATTTTACCATCGATTCATTCTTAAAGATCCGGCCGAGCAGACTCAAAAAATGATGTATGATTTATATTTAACTTGTAATCAGTATGAGGTGAGACGGATGTTTATCTGGCTCAGTGCCATTATCTGAAGCCTCACCAAAAGCAGAGTCAAGACCTCCATATGGGTGTCTATGCTCGGTCTTTCTGACGGACCGCCATCGCGCTGATTTGGTGGCGCACAACCTCAACAGGAAGCTCCGTGTCACAAGGACCCAGAGTGTGGGGGCTTGAGAGCCGGGCAAGAGTATTGATGCATGTGCCTTGTAGATAACGTCGGCAGCTTTGTAAGAGAGGTTCTCGTGATAATGCTCCACTAGCTCATCCTGTCTCTCAGATCTAAATAATTTTCTTAATATACCAATCCACACCAGCTCTAGTAATATCTCAGACCTAATAGTTCTCTGTCAATCTCTGGACAAGCGTGAAATGGAACTCTTGCGAAAGCCAACTCTATGCATTTATCAAAACAAATCAGGCAAGCGAATATCGTGGTCTCAAATACTTTAGGATTTTAACCATTTGTACAGGGTACAGGGTTCAAAAAAATCTACTTGACAATCCTCTCCTTGCTTTTATTTCAACTTGAATTATATAGACCTTTAACAGAGTTCAAAAAGTTCGAAGATAAGTTATTGCAAAATAATGAAAATAAATAGAAACATTTTTCGTTAGAGGCACTTTTTTATTCAAGTTCTCTAGACGAAACACGAGTTTAAGTTCACTAGATTCGCTTATGTCAGTGAAACGGAACTGATAAAGAAGTGGTCTGTGACAAACGCGACAGTCTATACGTGTCTGACGAAATTACATTAGCTCGCTTTATTTTTAGGTTCCGATCTGACTTGTCTCAAGTTCAGAACTGATGTCTGTCTGGCAGTGTATTGAGGTGCAGATGATTTGGCAAGGTTTTATTTCTTACATCCTGAAACTGATAAGCTAAAAATGAAATAGACTGGCCTTCCCAGTGACTCATTGGAAAGTCTTTGGCTCTTCCCAATGACTCAATGACATTGAAAATAAAATGCCCCGTAGCCTGAGTCTGATGGGAAGCAAAAAATGTTCTATATTCGGTGCCGTATATGAATTTAAGGGACGTACCCAAGGTTTCTGAGCCCTGTTACTGACCCTTATGAGCCGTAAATAAATTTTGCAGCCATACCAAATGTTTCTGAAGGGATGAATTCTCACCTGTAGGAATTTTACTTTCTCCACAGTTCTACTCACCTGTAGGAATTTTACTTTCTCCACAGTTCCACTCACCTGTAGGAATTTTACTTACCTGTATGAATCGTAAAGGATTTTTGCAGCCATACCGGTGTTTCTGAACGGTTTTACTTACCTGTATGAACCGTAAAGGATTTTTGCAGCCATACCGGTGTTTCTGAACGGTTTTACTTACCTGTATGAACCGTAAAGGATTTTTGCAGCCATACCGGTGTTTCTGAACGGTTTTACTTACCTGTATGAACCGTAAAGGATTTTTGCAGCCATACCGGTGTTTCTGAACGGTTTTACTTACCTGTATGAACAGTAAAGGAGTTTTGCAGCCATACCGGCGTTTCTGAACGGTTTTACTTACCTGTATGATGCGGCGAAAGCCCCTTTTTCAAAATCCACCATGTCGACGGCAAGTCTGTAGGCCTTTTGGTTAGTGAGTACGTGGAGAAATTCGTTCCCGATCCAGAACTCAGATTCCAAGTCACCGAATCCTTTCTTGTACGTGTGCCACGATTGGTCGAAATTAACCTGTTTCATGAAAATAATTTAACATTACAGTGCAAAAAATCGAAAATTTGCAAAAACATGTTTAAAGCAAATTTTTGAAACATGTCGTAAAAAAACATACAACCTGCAAGGAAAGTCCCATATAAATCAAAGAAATAAGCGACTAATTGGAAGTTGAATTCTAAAATTGAAACTGCTTCCTGAAAATTGACGAGGCATCTTGATGCATGTGCTATATGAAAACATCATATTTTGTTAAATAAGTAAACTTATTAAATTCTGGAGAGTGTTTGTTTTTCATGCGCATAGCTGCCAGTAATCAATGCCGCCCATTAGTCTGAGAGGCTACTAAGGCTATTAACTTGCAGACACAATGGAAGGCAAGTTTTGATCTAAGCTGCATCCAAGCCGTAGCGAATAAGCCTGAAGTCCATCAACGATGCGTGCCACCACCCAGAGCTGTATACACAATTTGGGGATCCAATATAAGCTGTTCAAACACACCACGCAGTCTCACCAAACACGCTCTGCTCTTCCCATATATTTCGTGTTCTCTGTTCACAATCTTAGTCGATATCCGAGTCCAGGAATTGTGCTTTTGGTGCTCACTATAACGGCAATGTTAAGCTCTCTCGCTGGACGTCGTAATATTGGAATAATAAATTGAGACAAAAATCATCTAAGCGTGACACAGATAAATATCAGAGGAAGGATTACATGAATAGGGGAATGATCGATGATTTGATAATCTTGACTTAGTTACCTGAGTAACGATTGCATGCATATAGGTAAATACTGAATCACGACGTGAATCAGGAGAAAATTTGAGAGTAATATTCATTCGTAAAGCTAGATCTCATAAGCTAAAAATATTTATGGTTGGGAATTATGGTATACTTTTTCAATTTTCCTGCTGGAAAAATTTCAATATTCAAATACAAAATCATCGACTTTCCTTCAAAGTAACGATATCTAGTATAATCAGCAGGCTGTGCAATGAAAGTTTCCTCTGCCTCGATGAGAATAATTCATTCTGGCATAATATAGTAGAAACCATATAAAGCTTTGATTTGGCGACGGACAATTTCGTTAATAGAACGTCTATATGCTTAAAGGAAGAGTTGAGTGACCAGGGCTATAAAGTAGACGTGATTATGGAATAAATTATAAAGAAATATAATATATTATCACGCGATCGCGTCACGAGTATGAACAAGAGATAGCCAAGGCTAGGCTCTCGTTTGCCGCACCGTAATCCGATCAAATCGGCTTGGCGAGGTGGAGCTTTATCCAATCTTCAGAGAAACGATAGATTTTAATTTAACTATGGCATGAGACCACTTAAAATTAAGCTTAAAAAAGAGCATCGGGATAGTAGGCCGTTAAGTGGCTTCAATCAAGAGCAGTCAATGGATGATATTACTATGACAATACTTGTTTCTCCGGATTTTTAATACATTTAATATTTAATATATAATGTATAAATGTGTAGTTGTCCTGGTATTGCTCTACGTTCTTGTTCATTAAATGGTTATGCATGAAATTTTAAACCAGCCAATTGTGCGGGCTGCTAGAGCTAAAATTTATCAATAACTACAATCTTCGACGCACCAGAACATCACATTCGACAGTAAAAATTTTTTAAAATAAATTCCAGGAATTTATGTCAAACAGCCTGTTCTGTGTCCGCCCTGACGGGACGTTGCTACAGCACTTTAATTAAGCTGCGCGTGCAACGCTGTGATATAACAGATCACCCAATTGGCGGAGCACGATAGCCAATGTTTCATAATATCTCGCTTTTAGAAGTTCAATATTAACCCTGAGACCATGACTGATTAAAGGGGGACGTCAGCCGTCAATTAAAGCGCATAATCAATTAGTCCTTTAATGCCAGTCTCAAAGGCAACGTCGCTCATCGTCAGTGAGGCAAGAGGAGCTTCATGGTGATCGAAACCTCGAGTAACAAATAGCAGTTAAAATCTTTTGACTTGGACGAATACATAATTTAGAGTCCATCTACCGAGTGGTGTTTGGCTGTGAATTTATTTGAATTATCATGAATTATTAAAACATGAAACATTATTTGAAAGATTTTTGTGTTAACATTAGATGATATCGCTGCCAAATATAAAAAAATCGTCTGCACAATTTTTGTTCTTACTTCGACAAGTATCATTGGGATAAACTTCAACGGACCTCTCACGAATGATTTAACAGAAATATCCCGATATATTAGAAAAAAAGACAATAATAGCTCGAAACATTTGACGCCACAAGGGAATGACTTTGAGGAAATTTGGCGTCAAACGTGGAGCCGTTATAACGCACGAGCATCAAGCCCTTCGACCAATGATCAATCGTACGCCATCGGCCAATGATCACTCGTACGCCATCGGCCAATGATCACTCGTACGCCATACGCCGATGATCACTCGTACGCCATCGGCCAATGATCACTCGTACGCCATACGCTCATACGCTGACGCCCTGGCGACGCACAATGCCGGCCTTGGCGCGGCGCAGCTTATCTCTGACGCCGAGATGATCTTCATACGCCACAGCACTTCACCCCTCACCCCTAACACGTCATTCTTCACCTCCCAACACTTCACCCCTTACCCCCAACACGTCATTCTCCACCCCCCAACACTTCACCCCTTACCCCCAACACGTCATTCTCCACCCCCCAACACTTCACCCTCATCCCAAGCACGTCATTCTTCACCCCCCAACACTTCACCCTTCACCCCCACACGTCATTCCTCACCCGCACCATTTCACCCCTCACCCCCAGCACGTCATTCTCCAATAGCACCATTTCACCCCTCACCCTCAGCACGTCATTCTCCAATAGCACCAGTTCACCCCTTACCCCCAGCACGTCATTCTCCACCCCCCAACACATCACCCTTCACCCCCCACACGTCATTCTTCACCCGCACCATTTCACCACCTTGCGCGTCCTATGAGGAGTACAGCCAAAAGGAAGCCTGTATATCGTACATGTGAATTGTACTAATTGTACTGAAACATTAACTGAAACATTAATGAAAATGTTTATTTTAAAGCGAGGCTATTTTAATCAACTATGCCCAATTTTCGACACCGTTCAACTCCGTTATATTAAAATTTTATACTATTTTTCTTAAACGGTGTAGTAGTTTATTGAATGTGATGAATCAATTTAACCGAGCATTCTTATTTCGGTTCAACAAGGATTCGGAATTAGTAAAAATTTATTTTAAGGTATTTCCACGAATAAATATTAATAGACGGTGCATTGAATTATAATTGCGTTTGCTTAGCAAATTTAGAACAATTTATTGCGAGTATATTTGAATGAGGACTAACTTTCAATGTAACAATTTTTAAACAAAATTTTATCCTTGAGTAATGTGACATGATATTTAATGGTTTTTGATGAATGAAATTTCGATGAATATATCGTTTAAATATGAACTAAGATTTCCTTTCAGAGCAGCCCATTTTTACCAAATTTCACCCTAAATAATTGAGTCATAATATTTCATCACTTTCGATTGATTGAACTTCGATAAAATCATTGTTCTCATTTGCCAGGATCAAGCGAGGCCACGTGAAGGCTTGGAACAGCAATAACTCCTTGTTCTGTAAGGTAGCCTCAATAAAGCATCTAGTGTAAGGTAGCCTCAATAAAATAACCTTTAAACGGTACACTTTTGGCTCCTAATTAACTTTGGCTCCTAATTAACATCGCGCATAGATACGAAAAACAACAAAGCATATTATGGATCCCAACAGATACAAAAATCAACATTTTTCATTGTTTTAGGTTATAACTAACAATTTCCTATTTTAAATTGAAAACCCCATCTTATTATGTTTTTTTTTGCATACGGAAGAAAAATTTCCTATTGAGTGGAGTTCGGTTATTAAGTTACAGCTGGTAAGTTTTAGATTTCTCCTGTTGGTTCTTTTTACCGAATTGCTGTTTAACCAAATTCTCTACGAAAATTATATTCACTATATAATAACAAGTATTAATATAATAATTCTATGCATAATTATAAATATAATTATAAATTCATACAATTCTAAAAATTCCATCTTTTAAAGTCTCGAATGCTGAACACCTGAAAAGAGTTCAGAATTAATGGCATCAGTGGATTAGTCTATATTGAGTTATCCAAATGTAATTAGTATTTTAGAAATGTTAGTTATTAGTAGTTAGTAATTTAGTTAATTACCTGAGGATCGACTCGCACTCTTCTCTGTATCACCAGCCAGCCGCCGCTGTCGATTTCCATGTCGCAGTGAACCTGTCGTCCAAATTTCTGCAGGTAGTAAACTCCTGAAAAAAATCCCCCAACATTTGTTTTACGCTTTATTAATTAGTGTGCATATTATTATGATTAATGAAATAGAATTAGTTTATCATCTATCTGCTCGGCTTGGTGATTAGTAAGAAACCAGCTGTTGCATTTGCTAGCAGGATATATATAAGCGCTTCAGCTCCTTCAATTACATATACACGTAAATAGAAAAAACTTGACATGGATGAGCTCAGAAATAATTAATAATGATATACATTATCCTACATAATTCTCGCTCAAAATGATTAGATTCATACCGAAAAAATGTATGGAATTGGGATAACGCCCAAATATATTTTACAAAATCGAGGAAAATCACACCCAAAAATAAATATGCACAAAGAACAAAGTTGTTTCAAATGCATGGAAAAATGTCCCCTCACCTGTGGCATTATATCCGAGTTCAAAGAGATCTTGACAGTCCTCAGCCATGACAGTGAGACCCAGTCTCGAGACCTGCATGCAGAGAAGCCAAGTTCTAAACTAATCATTGCAAGTGAAATCTGGCAATTTGCTACAAATTTCTCATATCAACTTAGAAATTAATTCTTCATTAGTATCCCTCAAGAGAAATAATCTTTATGTAATAATTTATTATATAACTATAAGTAGCTACAAAAAATTCTTGCAAAAGTAATAGCTTCAAATTAGCCTGGTAAAAATTAAAAATGAATTCTCGTGCACTACAACAAAGAGTAAAGTTATTGCTCCAGCAAACCATGGAGCGGCCGACAAAGAAGAACAACCTGACAAGACGCCCCACCACTGCCGGAAGTTCAGCAAGACTCGAGATTACGGCAGAGCGCAAAGTTTTACAGCGGTAGAATTTCGCAAGGAAGACCAGAAACTTTTTCCCTGAGTCAACAAAGGATAAAACAAACGATAGGCCTGACAGCTAGGAACTTGGAACTCTCTCTTTCTTAGACTTGTAGTTCGTGCTTGGCTTTGATGGAATCGTTTCTGGTTCATTGTGAAGTGTCTGGAATTAAGACGGGACGCTTCTCGTTGATACTTTGGTTGAAAATAGAGCTCATTCAAATCTTTGAGCATACAAATGTCTGCCGCGTACGTACATAAGGTTCGTAAATTCGTATAAATTCTAGGAATAAATTTTTCCCCATAATGTTAAACTTCAAACAACTCTTCATAAATAAATATGAGTCACAGAAACTAAGAAAATCTCTTACCCGGAGAACTTAACATCCACACAACTATGCAACGAACATGCGTAAAAAATAATAGATGAGCAGCTATAACCATACATGCTTACCTCATTCTGCATTTCGTTCATTTTTTCAAAGACCTGAGTCTTCAGCGACGTAATTTGAGTTTGGGTTGCTCCCTTGGAGTCTTCTATAGACGTGCGGAGTTTCTCACCATCTTCTTTGAGCTCACTTATCCTGGATACGAGGTCTTCCTTTACTTGCTTGAGGTCTGATTGCAGGACAGAAGGATTAACGTCAACATATGGCACGTCACCCCATGGAGGAAGCGTGGAGTTCGGGTGCTCCAAGGAGTAAATAATTACTGGATCTTCTAATGGAGTTTCTTGGTCTACTGTGACTCTTCTTCTTGGAGATGCGCTTATAAAAGTGTCCAAGAGACACATGAAGTATGTCATTACTACAATACATGATACATTGTGCACTGCCTTCCACATTTTTAGGGTAGCTAGCAAAGGTTAAAAAAAATGTTTTTCAGGGATCAGTATTGATGACGTTTATTGAAATTTTCGCTATCTGCGCACGTAAAATGTGGAACTTGGGGGAAAAGAAAAAAGTAAATAATGAAAGAAAATTTCAAAGGAATTTCACTAACAATGCTGACACTTCAAGAAATTCACGAAAAAACTTTTTTCCAATCAACCACTGTCGTTCCAGAACTTGTACTCCACGACTGAAAAGTTGAAAATTGAGATGAAAATGAATATGTTTCAATAAATCATTTAAAATTCATGAGATTGTCGAATTGTGATTACAAAAAAAAACTTTAAACTTTTTGCCGTTAATAGTGTCAATATTTCACAGTTAGGGCCGTTATAGGGCCGCACAGGTTACACGTGTTAACAGATTCACAGCCGCGGCATGTGTGGTGCAAGCTCTGCGGTTAGCCCCTGACTTGTGCCGCCCGACTCATGATGGTCGCTAACATGACAGGTGCTTACGACTGGTCGCCCGATGTGCATACGATGTGCCAACCGATGTGCATACGTCGGGCAACCAACGGCCAACCGATGTGCTAACGGCTGCCATGCTGGGTCGTACGATGTGCTAACGGCTGTCATGCTTGGTCGAACAATGTGCTTACGGCTGGCCACCCATCGCGGGTCGATGTACTTACGGCTTGCCACTCGTGACCATCTGATGTGCTTACGGCTGGCCACTCATGACCATCTGATGTGCTTACGGCTGGCCACTCATGACCATCTGATGTGCTTACGGCTGGCCACTCATGACCATCTGATGTGCTCACTTTTGGCCACTCATGTTCAACCGATGTGCTGGCCTCACTTGCATAATGTCTTCGTTTTATCATAGGTTTCCTCAGCGTAATAGAAAATAACGGAAGTTTACTATGTTCAGCAAAACTTTTTGCCGAATATCTGAAAATTTTGGACGAAATGTTCTATTTTGTGGGATTACCAGGGATTCAATTCCAGGAGTCACTATTTTTATTTTTGAGTCTTTGTGCTCTAAAAACAAACGGAACATAACAGTTTTTCAATTAATTTTTGTTTCTTGTGATAGAAAGTGGACGTGAACAACGAAATAAAAATGGTCTTGAAAATGTTGGACTATTACTTGCTTATTTTTTTTATTATTTACATTAGTTTATGTCCCTTGAGAATAATTATCATTTTCTTCGTCCCCATTTCTTTTTTTACGGCCATGTTATGCACGTAACGCATTTGTTCCAATCATATCATAGGTAATCATAGAAATTTGTAAGCTCTATTTGATTTCAAATTTGTAAGCTCTATTTTATATTTGCACAGATTTAAAATTTGTAAGCTCATTTGCAGAGAAACCGTCCGTCGACGCATCTTTTGTTTATTACATTTTTCCTCTATTAAATGAAGCTACAAGTAAAATTTATTCATATTGTTAGTTATGTTGGCTGACGCAACATGAAACTTCAGCTCATCATAGGCACGTAGATAAAATACCGCGTCGTCGCCTCTGTGAAGATAATAACATTTATACTCCTTAACTACTTTCAGAGATAGCAATGAGATATGAGATGACGACGACTGCACGAGTTCATTGACGACAGAACTGGCAGAATAAAGAGATTTAAAACTCACAATAAGTTATTCTAAATGAATGTAAAATCATGCGTTACGAGAGCATAATTCCAACAGCATAGAGATAGCAATGAGATATGAGATGACGACGACTGCACGAGTTCATTGACGACAGAACTGGCAGAATAAATAGATTTAAATAAATCACAATAAGTTATTCTAAATGAATGTGAAATCATGCGTTACGAGAGCATAATTCCAACAGCATAGAGATAGCAATGAGATATGAGATGACTACGACTGCTCGAGTTCATTGACGACAGAACTGGCAGAATAAAGAGATTTAAAAAACTCACAATAAGTAATTCTAAATGAATGTGAAATCATGCGATATGAGAGCATAATTCCAACAGCATAGGCCATTTGCCCATCAGATTGCACTAGACGAGACCAGTTTATCAGATATGCTGAGTGCCAAGCCAACAATTGCTTTAGTCTCCCAGACCGGCCGGCGGTCAGCCGCTGGCGCCCGACGCTTTCCTAAACAAGCGAAAGAAAAAAGCAGAATTGACAGCTCGCCATCACGACCACACAGCAGCTATGGCCGGCTTGTTGGCGACAATGAATACGACTATGAATGATTCAAGGTCGATCCAAATTAAGTGCGAAATTTTTTACATTCAGGTGAGAGGGACTTATTATTTTTTATTATTCATGTGAGAGGAACATCCAGGTGAGAGGGGATATTTTTTATAAGTGATATTTAAAAAATAGACAATACAATGTTCTAACTTGAGATGGCATTCGCGATACACGAAAGATCGAGAATTTGTAAATGACAATGTTGGTGAAAAATGCCAGACCTCAGTCGATAATGAAACTATAACAAGACGAGATCTCTTAAAATGTTTTATTCAAAGTCATGGAGAAGTCTATTGATACGAGTTATTTAATTTAGCTTAAGAAATACATATATAAATCCCCTAATTTTATTCAAGTTCCTATTGTTGTGCATTGACTATAAAATAGCTTCCTAGATATTCTGTCAATCGTATTACAGTAGTTTTTCTCGCTTTAAGTTTAGTTCACATTTGCTAAATGCGCTACATCTTATTTGGAAGGAGTGTCTAATCCTTAACTATATATTAACTAAATCCATATCCATAACTACATATTTACTAAATATATCCATATCCATAATTATATATATATATATATTCATATAATATATTTATATATCCCTAAAACTTTCACTCAGCATTCCACGGTCATCAATTAAACATTTTATTTCAACAATTTACAATTAACAACAAAATACCGTGTCGCGATTCAGGGCAACGCAAGGAGCAGTTCGCGCGTTCGCGTGACTAATCACCAGCACTTTGAATCGCGAATGGAAGTTCTTATTGACCAGGCTAGGCAAAGGCGGTCATATGGTCCTTAATAGATACTTTAAATCTTCAATAGCACATAAATATAGCCGTCTATTTTTGTAGACCTTGAAGAGTTGGGGGCCGTTAAAATTCTATAATATTGATGCAGACTAAATTGGAAACGTTGTGGAAACCAAATACCTTATAACGGTAGTTTAACAAATGTGAAACTATGAATCGCGAATGGAAGTTCTTATTGACCAGGCTAGGCAAAGGCGGTCTTCTGGTCCTAAATATATACTTTAAATCTTCAATAGCACATAAATATAGCCGTCGATTTTTGTAGATCTTGAAAAGTTGGGGGCCGTTAAAATTCTATAATATTGATGCAGACTAAATTAGTGGAAACGTTGTGGAAACCAAATACCTTATAACGGTAGTTTAACAAATGTGAAACTATTGTGCTAAGGCTCCCATTTTCTATTCTTTGAGGGCATTTCTCTCATTTTATAATTCGCAATGAACTTATGATTCAAATGACATAACGCATCAATTGGACAAAATTTCTTTACTTCATTTTGCAAAAAAAGTTTTTGCAAAAAACATTGTTTACTTCGTTTTCAAAAAAAAAGAAGTAAAAGACAATGAAACTTTTGTAGTAAAATTTCATTCGATATTGTTTACTGGAAATATCAATATTGTCTCTTATAGCTACTGATGCTCCTTTACTTCGGGAAGGTCGCGGCTTAATATTTGTTATTGACGATGGAGATCTGATCAACACAAAAAGATTAAATAGTGTATAGGCATTGGAGCCTAAAGCTATTTCGGTATCAAGTGAGAAAATTGTTAACAATCCATTTTACTGCGATTGGGAATAGGGAACAATTAAGCTATTTTTGACTGCTATTAGCCTCAGTAGACGATGGAAGTTGACTTCCAGCTTCATGCTCCAAATTTTGGATATTTTTAATGCGTATAACATAAGACTTTGAGGGAATTCATCAATTCTCCTTTCGCGCCTTTGTTTAATTTTTTCACTTACTGTTACAGTTGACCTGCAGACAATATGCGTACTTGAACGCGATATGGATTCTTGATCACGCTGAAAAAAATTATATAAATATTAATTTCTAATCTTTTACAATTAAAAATTCGTAATATGGGTATTTAATATTCATGCTTGATTAACTGTAGCTGAGAAGCACTATCATTGTAAGTTGGAATAGCAATAGCGAGTTACCGAGCATGCCTCTAAGTCAACCCCATGACTGGCTATAAGAACCTGAATCCAAGGTCAAAGATAAACCTGTTCAACGGCCAAACAAGAATGAACCAGATATCATAAGATGCTTATCACTCAACCAAAAGTTGATGTAACTTCTAAAATACATATCTCTCTCATTTGTTCACTACGACTGTAATCGAAGCATACAATTTTTCAATTCATAATGATTAAGGAATTATAATTCAGGTCCTAACAGTATCTCTTATCTCAGATAGCTGACTAGATCTCTGCTGCTGCCGATGATTGTAAATATTTCGAGCCGAACCTGAGCTACACCTTGTTTAGTTTGAACGCGACAACACTCCAGTGTAGTCGGGGAGTGAGAGAGCACTCTCAGATATTTATATTTAATTGGGTTCTTATTTTGATCTTGTTTCTCCAGACTGCGTGGTGCCTTATATATAATTAATTACTGAAGGTGAGCAATGATCATGCTTTAAACACTTTGACTCTTGACAATTCAACATAATTGGTGATCTCATATATTTAGTTGAGCGAATTTGTTTCGCGGGATCACTTGCGAGTTTCATAATTGTTCTAATTAATTATCTCCTTCCAGTTATTTCTCTTTCTAATCTAATTAATTCTAAACTAAACACTAAAGAAAACTAAAAAGAAAAAAACTAAAACACTAAAACTAAAAAGAATATTCACTCGGACTTTCTGATAAGTGAGAACTATATATAATGGGAAAACAATATAGTTTCATTCTATCAAAGGAGCAACTGAACTAGCTTGTTTAACAAATTTTCAGCTACGACCAGTTAAAAGTTCTGCACATGCTTTTACGCAGAGGCTATGCCTAACGCAACATGTTGTGAGGTCCTGCCTGTGCTGTTGCGTAATGTGGTGTGCTGCTGCCGGAGATTTATTTTACGACTGAGATACTCTCGAGAGGGGCAGCGGTCTTGAATGCATTATGTCCGTTGATAGAATATTCTAATGTTCGGAATTGTGTTCGTTATGTTCCACGAAATGCGAAATTAATCTGATCGTGGCAAACGACAATGGTTTCATGAAAAGATTTTCCGATTGTTTATACTTTCTCAGGATGCAATATACTCCAATAAATTTACATTTATCGAAACATAACATTTACTCATATTTAATGTAAGCATAAGATTGAGCTTACATTATTTGGTTTAGTCCGAAGATCCAAAGAATGCGTTTAATTGACTTCTTGTAGATCTTTCATGATTTATACCACAATTATAAAAGGAGTGAACAGATAAAAAAATTTCCATTATCTAGTTGGAATGTGCCGCATTTTGCGATACAATATTCCAAAATTCCCGGAATATATTTGTGGTTAATATGAAAGCGGAGCTGCAGTATTATATGTATATGGGCGCTTCCGTTCGGTCCATTTGACCATGAAGTTTTCGTGAGAAAAAAATTCAGAGCGGATAGAAGCGAAATGCATGTGATTCGTCGGACTAATGTATTTCCAGGGGTCGTATGCAGTTTATCCTGCTACGAGGGAAACATGTTAATATTAAGGCGGTGTTGCCATTGAAATAATGAGCTTAAGTTGGGATTAATATTCAGAAAGTTTTTTATTATTATTGTGTACGAGGTGTAACAATTAGGTGTTAGAATATATAATTTAAAGAGTTGTTCCAAGACACAACAGTTGATATTCAAATGATATTCGGCACCTAGATATACTTTTAGAGTTTTTTCGCATTGGAGAACGATGTTTAAACCATGAGTGAAAGTTTTTTGATGAAAGACGATGCTTGTCAAATTTCAAATGTGGCAAATGTACCACGAAAGTCCAACAATTTTCATTTCAATAGAGTCAATTTTCAGCGCTACTTTACTCACAAACTATCACAACAACTCGAATGAAATTGCCGATTTCATTTCTTTTATGCAGATGGAGTACGATGCTGCAGTGGTGGGCGGGGGTGTAATGGGCTACAGCACAGCACTGGAACTGGCGCGGCACGGCGCCCGAACTGTCCTACTTGAGCAGGTGTCTTAATTAAACATGTCCGGCTAATTAAACTTTTAGATATATGATTTAAAAACTCGCGAAAAATCTTCTTGAAAATATGCATTCATGAAAATTTTTACTGGAACTATAAGATTGCTTCGACGTAATTTTAAGCTTGTGCATGTTCTATGGCAAAATTATTGTACGACGGTGTTCTATTATCGTCAAAATGTTGGCAGACGGTAAAAACTTTCACGGAATAATATGTCTTGGTTGTGTGTCGACTCACGATAAATTGACATCAGTTCTGATGATGTGGTTCACGATTATCGTGGCTGTTTCGATTGTGAATAAGCAATGGAATAATAATCTTTCTCCATAGTACATAGTTGATAAGTTTTATACGTCTTCTGAAAAAAATTAGTTACTTACAAGTTTATAACTTCATAAAAAATTTTTGTTTGACCAAAGTGATGGCATTATGAAAGGATAATTGAAATGATATTTTAACAAATGTCAGGATAGGCAGAAAATATAGGTCTCATATTCTCTTTTTAAATGAAAACTATGAAATTGAAGAAAAAACATTTAACAAGCAAAGAAATTTAAATAAAACTTGTGATATTGCTAGAAAACAATTGAAATTGAGTTTGTTGCTAAAAATTAATTCAATATGGAGAAATAATTACCTGCTGCAATTTTCATTCCTAATTTGCGTGGGTATGAAGTGCGTGTTATCATTGCTGAAATATTTTTATCAGAAATTTTATGAAATATAATTACAATTATAAGTGTCCCCTTGCTGTTGTTTACATACCGACATTTTATGAGAATCGAGTGCGCCTTATCATGGTTGATCATTTTCTGTATAAAGAACATTTAATATATGAAATATAACTACAGTGATATATGAAATATAGCAACAATGATATATGAAATAAAGTAACAATGATATTTGAAATATAGTATCAATGATATATGGTATATAGTAACAATGATATATGAAATATAGCAAAAATTATATATGAAATATAGTAACAATGATATTTGAAATATATCAACAATTATATATTTATTATATTGAATATTTTAACTATGATATATGTGACACTGCGACAGTTTCCATCCCCCCACACGCGGGGATCGAGCACAGGACAGAGCAGGATCACTAGGATCGCAAACTGCGGCGCCCAAGAAATGAATGCCATCATGGCCGCTGCTCTCGAGGCGTGGAGAAATATCGAGAAAGAAATAAACAAGGAGCTTTTGATGTGAGTGGCAAATATATGAGAAATATCGAGAGAGAAACATCGAGAAAGAAATATGGTTAGGGGAAATATCGAGAGAGAAACATAAAGAAAGAAATATGGCTTGGAGAAATATCGAGAAAGAAATAAACAAGGAGCTTTTGATGTGAGTGGCAAATATCATTGACTGCCTTTCTTCCAATAATTTTACTAAATATCAATCAATAAGAAGCTTTTGGTATTGAAAACGAAAATGACTTGATTGGAATTCACACATAATTAATTTGTTAAATGAGAGGTAAGTAGATTAAATCAGTAGGAAGCCTATGATTTTAGTAGCAGAAAAGCCTTCCAAGGAATTTATTTGTCATTATTTGGTCTATAGTGAGAGGGTTTCGGTGATTATTAAAAAAAATGTACTATCAGATTTGAGAAAACGAAACATTCAAATCTCAATCAGTACGTAGCGTATCTGTTGATAGTGCGGATTGTTACACAAAACAAAAAACAACACCGAAAAATAATTGCCTGGTTTCTAATTTTAACCACTACATTTCACAAAAGGCATCGTCTTGCATTCTTCACTGCATGATATCAAACAAACACAAAACATTGCTAAACTGCGCAGAGTGCCGCACTCTTGTTAGTCTAGCAGGTCAATGGTACGTCACGCAAATGCTCCTCATAAAACTGTTCTCTTTCTTTTGTGAGCAATAGCTTTAGGCTTTTACAAAGAACAATCTGATAAATATTTTGTTATATCACAATTATCATCTTTTTTTTGGGCTCTCTCAATCCGTGAGCTCCCATTTCTATACTACGGTCATTCGTATATTTCCTTTCATGTGCAGGCATTCTCTTATCTTTATTTCAAATAATGGAGGTGTTCAACCCTATACAATTTCTGCAATCATTTAACCGTTGACATTCGTTTAGAAAAACGCATAATTTCAGCACAACCATTCTACCCTGGAAGCACTATAGTGTACTAAGAGTAGCATTGTATCGTATAGTAGTAAATAAAATGCAAAATTCTTCCAATGTTCCATTTAAATCCATGTAAATAATGAAATAATGAAAATAATGACAGCCCAGCCCCGCTGTTATGCGTGGGCACCGCGCGCTACATGGCCAACATGAGACGATCCATCGTAGAGGCGGGAGGTCAGCCTTTGCCCACGACTGTACAGGAGCTACGCCAGCAGTTTGGGTGAGCTTATATACATTTTTCGCCAACTGAATGCATTAGCTTTTAATTTTAACCTCTCTTTGCGGGTGTATTAAATGTATCGATGACTGTTTGTATTAATTTATCTGACAAATATGCGACCTGCAATGTTGCCGGGTTGCATGTGAAGAAGTACAAATATCTTTCCGTTGAAACCTCTCTTTGCGGGTGTATTAAATGTATCGATGGCTGTTTGTATATGATTGTCTGATAACTCTAGAGTTGCGGCCCGAATTTTGGGGCTGAAGTATAACGAAAAACGCATCATTTCAAGTAAAAAAGTAACCGCTTGTCCTTAGTCTTTTTTCTGGGGTTCCGAATTCAAACAAAATAATAGATATTGGAGTTATTTCATGCCACACATAATTCCATTCATATTACAGCCAGGCTCGCTATAACTTAGGATTCATCGTACATTTGTAGGTCTCTGGCACCATGCTCGGTGTTCTTAATTCTAATGAGTGTCTTCATATAGTTGTTGATCTCAAAACACTTGCCTCAATTTGTCTGTGCAACGAAATTGACTGCACTAAATTAGAGTATAAATAGATAATATATAAACATTTCTCAAGGAGAATGCTAGTATAAAGAGTTATGTAAGATCAAACTCATCATTCTTAAATTGAGTTAGCCATAGGTAATGATATAAAGATCAGTACTCACTGCAGTGAGTGACAGAGAGCGCATTTTCTCGCCGACGAAAACGTGAAGTCACGAACAGACGGACAGACAGACGGACGGACGGACGGACGGACGGACATGACGAGCACAATAGCGCCTTTTTTCCATAAATGAGAAAATGCGGTAAAAAATGGTGTTCAGATGAACAGCTCTAGAAGTGGACTGATAAATGATAATTGCCCCTACCAACAAACCTTCAAATTGGATGAGTTGAGCTGAAAAATATTTTCGATGTTATGTGCTTAATTGAGAATAATTTTCGATGTTATGTGCTTTATAATTAAATTAAAATCAACGACAAGTAATTAAAATTAAATAAAAGAGGCAACTTCAATTGCTATCTCAAAAGAACCCTGCAATGTAGCCAGGTCGGCGACGAAAAAGTACACATTTATTTCCATTGAAATTTCGCATCAAAGCTAATGTTTAGCACTGACCACAGTTTCTTGAAATAACTTACCCCGCACTACTGCAAAATATAAAAAGTTATAATTCACATAATATGCTCCCGCTGCAATACACCCTTGGCTTAAAATCGAAGCCTATAAGTAACTTAGATGGGATACAGGAAGAAGTTTCCTACTTTGCAATTCCGACAGAAGAAGATGCTGTGGACTTTCCTGAATGATAAAATTTCTATCTCATTTCAGCTACAACTTTCCGGCAGACCTCGAAACTTTCTTTGACACTAAGGCCGCAGTGATGCTTGCTGATCAGTGTATCCTCGCACTCAAGGTACTGTAGTGTTTATTTAAGATGCAATCCAAGCATTGCGTGCAGAAATAAATTCGTTTTTCGAAATTGTGTGTGAAGCGCATTATATGTAAATATAGTTTTAGTGTTACAATAATTTTTTTTTGGTACAGAAACATTTTGTGAAATTTAATATATATCAATATTTCAACGATGATTCAAACAACGTTTCGTTTTATAGAGTTTCAACAAATTTTGTTAGTTTGATGAATTTGCTTTGAATTCACATGCAATTCTTCCCAGCTTTTATTTGCGCTAGAAGATCAGAAATATGGATATCTTAAAACCACACGCAAAGATATCTTTGATCGCGACCGTGACAGTTTTAATGACATTAAAAAGAAAGAAGCATAGCCAAGGTCAAGCACTAAAAAGTGAGAAATGAAATCCAAAGGAAAAACCAGATTTGTGAAAAATACCAGCACTGGTATTTTTCACATAAAATCATGGGGCGAGCACTGGTATTTCATAAAAAATCATGTGGCGAGAAAAGCAGTTCACTAAGCGGCATTTAAGTAAAGTTCTTCGAAAATATGGCCAGTTAAAAATATTTTTTCAAACAAGTTCTGAGCTAACGCAAGACTTTGTTCGCGTTAATTTAGGTAGAATATTAAACTTTGGAGCAATTCTCACGCATAAAGTTTCCTTAACATGGGCCAAACTTTCAAAGTAAGACGTGCCTTTTGAAGGAACTTTGTTAATCTTTGAGATTACAAAGTGTGAGCGAAAATTTAAATTAAATTTTTAATTTATTGAAGAAGAAATTATTCCATGTTAATTTGGGCACCGCCCGTTAAATTTTTTAGTTATTTACTCATTAAAGTTGAAGGCTTTGCTCGTTCAAGTTTATTTCGACTCGAGGCTCATTTAAAATTAAGCAGCACCCAATGTTGTAACAATATTAAGATCTAAATAGAGCCATTACGGGTCTTACATTTTTAATGCGAGTTCATCAAGTAAACTTCATTTTAAAAACATACATCTTGCATAAATAATAAATTTTAAGCGTAATTTTAACGACGATATTGACTTCCATCAATATGAATATGATAAAGAAAAGCAAGATTAAAAAATTTAACTTTTTTGACTCAAATTTCATCACGGTGATGCATTTTACAGTGGTTTGCGATGCGAAGTTCAAGGTTTTATACATATTTAATTTAAACTAAGATCTTGATTTATGCTCCGCAAACTACTTCTCATAATACTTTCGTACAGGCTACTCATCATAGATGAGCTTGAGAGACGCTGGCAAATATTTTGCTTAATGAATGAACATTATTCAGATTTTCATATCACAATGAAGACATGGACGGATGTAATAATGCGTAATTGCTCCCTAATTAGCATCAAAATTATTTATTTCATTGTTTCATGGTAACTTACTTCGTTTACAATTTACCTAGCCAAACTACAGTGCTAGGAAAAATCATATATTTTGCATTCAAAATGAATTTTTTCGAGTCTGCGCTAGTCGACAGAGCATCGAGATAATAAACATCCACAACTAACACCAAAAGACTAGGATAAAAATGAAGACGTGTTTTTAATTCATCCTGAGCTTGAATAGTATTCAGATTCGTTTTAATAAATAACAGGGGTAGTTTAGGTGTCATAGATGCGTACCAAAAATATGTATTTTGTTATTACGTTTTAGTCAATGCAAATTATTACATAACAATTAGAACACATCACATTTGTTTGGTGACTAAAATAACGCCAAAATGAAGGAATATTTCGCGTGTCACTTGAAGGTCACATGTAAAAATTAGTGTAAACTAAAATCACGTGTGAAAAATTAGTGTAAACTCAAATCACGTGTAAAAAATTAGTGTAAACTAAAATCACGTGTAAAAAATTAGTGTAAACTCAAATAACGTGTAAAAAACTATTGTATACTTAAATCACGTGTAAATGCAATTTAATAGTAGTTTAGGAAAATATACCCATGGTAAATCGCGAATAAGTTCTTTCTTTTTGCAGGAGTTATTCATCCGTTATGGAGGAACTGTCCGCGACCGGTGGCCGGTGTCCACCGTGACGCCGTTGGAGGACAATAAAGTTAAGATAAGCGGGCCAAATGATGGCCACATAATAGCGTCGAAGGTGGCCATTTGCGCCGGCCCTTGGACGGGCCCGTTGATGAAAAGCCTTGGTATTGATCTTCCCTTAACGTGAGTAACACATTACATACATATAGATGCTTTACCGCTTAACATGAATATTACCAGGAAATAATCAATCATAATTAATACCTAAGAATTTGAAATAACATAGCAACAATAAGCGCGACTAAAATTTTTGTCATTAAGCGATGCTACAATGAATATTTGAGAGTCTTGGATGACTAACTTCTTTTCCTTCTCAATATTGTTTAAATACATTTTTTAATCTATTTTAAAGGTATCCAACTTAGAGAAGAGTTTAATACATTTGGGAAAAATGTCAATCTAGAGAGAGAGAGATCCTTGTCAATCCAGAGAGATCCTTGATGACAAACGTCATGTGACTCGATCTCGAAGCCACTTCGTGGGAGAAATAGTTGTAATCTTCGGTTTTCGTTAATGAATTTAATAACTGTTATAACGGTATGAATACAGTCAAAAAACACGTATCANCTTATTGAGGTCTTGATGAGAGTATGAGATACGTCTGCTACTTAACATTTTTCTGAGTCGGGTAATACTCAGTACATTCGATTTGATGAAAGCGTTTCAACAACTTCTTGATTGCTTTCACGAGACGCAAGGAGCAATTTCGAACATTTCTGTTTTCAGAAATGACCAGAATATTTTTTCTTATCACAATCTTCATGCTCATCATGCATAAATTACTGAAAGTTACCAGATTGTAATCATTTTAAACAATTTCTACAAGGAAGTTGGTCCCAAAATTAGCCTCAAAGTTTAAATAAAACGTACTCTGAATATTTTCAAATGTTTTTTAACGTATTGTCATTCGAAAACATTTCAAGAAAGCACCAAGTGTTACAAACTACGTATAAGTTAAGTCTGAATGCATCTTTTATGATCGCTTCTTTCTAATAAAAAATAGTCATCAACACTTTCGATGAAATAATTCAATTGCTTTCAAGCGATTGAATTTGACTCTATAGGGGCCAATCGTTAACATAAACCAACCTTCTTATCGATGTTAGCCTGTAGTCTCATCAGTCATGGGGCTAATTAAAATGGTCTATTGTTCGCAGCTAATTTATTTATGAGATTTGTATTCTATTGGGAAATTTTATTCATATTCGAGCACTGTTGGATCATTAAAAGATATATTATGCGAAACAAAAACGAATTTAGAGGTTTGGACATAGTTACGTTACATAGTGTACATACATACATGTACAAATACACTATGTACATAGACATAGAGTATAGTTACGTGTACATAGACGGCACATTGAAAGTATGTGGGGTGAGCTGAATAATAATGAAATAATTCCCAGAAATTCGTTCAATCTTCAAACTGAACTTCTGTATTACAACTTGACTTTGAAAATACCCAATGGACATCTTGATAGATACATGACCCCATTGCCCCTATAAGACATGACCTATAGATACATGACCCTATTGTGCCAATAAGATATGACCTATAGATACATGACCCTATTGTGCCAATAAGACCTGACCTAGAGATACATGACCCTATAATGGCCAACATGAGACGATCCATCGTAGAGGCGGGAGGTCAGCCTTTGCCCACGACTGTACAGGAGCTACGCCAGCAGTTTGGGTGAGCTTATATGCAATTTTTCGATTAATTTAGCATTCATAAGACCTTTGTAGGTCTCAGGCGCCATGTTCAGTGTTTTTAATTTAAACGAGTGTCTTAATATACAGTAGATGTGATCTTATACAATTGTCAAAATTTGTCTGTGCAAAGAATTTGACTGGACTGCATTGGAGTATAAATAAATATAAAATGAACAATTCTGAAGTAGAATGCTAGTATGAGTTAAGTATGCTTCAACTCATCATTCTCAAATTGAGCTAGCCATAGATAATGATATAAAAAATGGTGTTCAGATGAACGGCTTTAAAAATGGATTGATAAATGATCATTTCGACTACCAACAAACCTTCAAATTGAAAGAGTTCATTAAGCTGAAAAATATTGACGAATAATTTTTTATGCTAAGAGCTTCACAATTGAATCAAAATGACAAGTAAATGAAAATGAAACACAAGACGTAACTTCGATTGTTGCCTCAAAAGAACCCTGCAATGTTGCCGGGTCGGCGACGATTAACTACACATTTTTTTCCTTTGAAATTGCGCATCAAAACTAATATTTAGCACTGACCACAGTTTCTTGAAATAACTTACCCCGCACTACTACAAAATATAAAAAGTTATAATTCACATAATATGTTCCCGCTGCAATACATTAAGCGTAATTTTAACGACGATATTGACTTCCATCAATATGAATATGATAAAGAAAAGCAAGATTAAAAAATTTAACTTTTTTGACTCAAATTTTATCACGTTGATGCATTTTACAGTGGTTTACGATGCCGCAAATTACTTCTTATAATACTTTCGTACAGGATGCACATCATAGATGAACTTGAGAGACGCTGGCGAATGTTTTGCTTAATGAATGAATATTATTCAGATTTTCATATCACAATGAAGACATGGACGATAGTATTAATGCGAAATTGCTCCCTAATTAGCATCAAAATTATTGCTTACATTGCACTACAACCAAACTATAGTACAGTACAAAAATAATTTATTTTGCATAAAAATTAATTCTTTCGAGTCTGCGCCCTTCGTCAGAGCATCGAGACAATAAACATCTACAACTAACACCAAGAAGACTTGAATAAAAATACAGACTTGTTTTTAATTCATCCTGACATTTAATAGTAATCAGAGTCGTTTGAATAAATTACAGGGGCTATTTAAGTGTCGTATATGCGTACCAAAAATAGGTACTTATTTTGCTAATATGGCATAGTCAATGCGAATTATTACGTAATAATTTTAACACATCACATTTGTTTAGTCACTAAATAAAGCCCAAATGAAGGAATAATTTGAGTGTCACCTGAAGGTCACGTGTAAAAATTAGTGTAAACTAAAATCACGTGTAAAAAATTAGTGTAAACTCAAATCACGTGTAAAAAATTAGTGTACACTAAAATCACGCGTAAATGCAATTTAATAGTAGTTTAGAAAAATATACCCATGGTAAATCGCGAATTAGTTCCTTCTTTTTGCAGGAGTTATTCATCCGTTATGGAGGAACTGTCCGCGACCGGTGGCCGGTGTCCGCCGTGACGCCGTTGGTGGACAATAAAGTTAAGATAAGCGGGCCAGATGATAGCCACATAATCGCTTCGAAGGTGGCCATTTGCGCCGGCCCTTGGACGGGCCCGTTGATGAAAAGCCTTGGTATTGATCTTCCCTTGACGTGAGTAACACATTACATATAGATGCGTTACCTCCTAACATGAATATTACCAGCAAATAAAAATATTTACCAAAATATTTATTACCAAAAGAATTATTTTCCAAAAATAAAAAATAAAATTAAACATAGCAACAATACGCTCAATATAACGTGAGTAACACATTACATATAGATGTGTTACCGCTTAACATGAATATTACCAGCAAATAAACAATCATAATTAATACCTAAGAATTTAAAATTAAACATAGCAACAATACGCGCGACTAAAATTTTTGCCATTAAGCGATGCTAAAATGAATATTTGAGATTCTTGGATGGCTAACTTCTTCTCCTTCTCAATATTGTTTAATTACATTTTTTAATCTATTTTAAAGGTATCCAACTTAGAGAAGAGTTTAATACATTTGGGAAAAATGTCAATCTAGAGAGAGAGAGATCCTTGTCAATCCAGAGAGATCCTTGATGACAAACGTCATGTGACTCGATCTCGAAGCCACTTCGTGGGAGAATTTGTTGTAATCTTCGGTTTTCGTTAATGAATTTAATAACTGTTATAACGGTATGAATACAGTCAAAAAACACGTATCAAAAACAAAACTTAAAAATACAGAAAATTCTAATAAAACATGTTTTATTGAATAATACCTACACATCGTAGGTCGGTGCGCACATCTGTTTGGTATTGGAAGCCAAAGCGGGATGACTTCAAAGGGCACTCGTTCATGTACATGGACTCTGATGTACCCACTCATGACTTCTACTACGGCCTACGTTCCGTAGAATATCCTGGCCTGATCAAAGTGAGCAGCAATTGTTATCAATCCTCTACCATCCATTGATTTCATAACTCAGGTGCGTCTGACATTAGAATTCTAATTTGAGGAGATTGGGTTTGTTGGCAGGGGGCTGTAATGCGCCGGGTAGGTAGTCAATTATGCATCATAACCCTCTTACAAATCATAAGAAGATTATTGGTGATCGCTCGGTTGCCGATATACGGCCATCCTTGCATGTATTATAACGGCATTTGAAGTTCAAATGGAAAAACTGGAGTTTATTATAATAGGTTCCAGCAAAATTGTGCGCTGGAAGCAAATTTGTTGTTGAGAGTTGTTGTCATAATTTAACAAAAAGAGAAATTTAACGGCAGCAATTGTATTTATTTCTTTTAAGCAAACTCAAAAATTTATGAAATACCATCGTCGATCATTAGTTTGGTAATTGAATATAAGTTTAGATTACGCAGTGGATGCTTTACATTTTGTAATAGGCATAAAAAGTATTTGGATCCACGTATTTTCAACTTTTTAGCGCATTTTCTCATTTATGGAAAAAATGCACTATTGTGCTCGCCATGTCCGTCTGTCCGTCCGTCCGTCCGTAACTTCACGTTTTTGTCGACGAGAAAATGCGCTCTTTGTCACTCACTGCAGTGAGTACTGAGTTATGTTTTTTTATTGTTGTATTCCGTTTCAAATTCATTTAGTAACCTTTCCAGGAAACATCAGCAGCACAGTTTCAAGATTTAATCTGTTATTTTCAACCATTGTTATTGAAACAATTGTTTCAATAACAATGAAACAATTACAAAAATGTTATTAGTTTTATGGAAACTCAATGACTGAAAAGATGCCATTGCAGATAATTAATTTGGTAATTAAACATGAATTCAGATAACAGAATGGCACCTATAATATACTATGTATTACTGTATTAGGTATAAAAGGTATTTGGATCCACGTACTTACAACTGTTATTTGTTGTATTTACAAATTATTCGTTTCTAATTCCTGTTGCAACTCTTTCACATAACATCAGGTGCATAGTTTCAAGTTTTAATCAATAACTTGTTTACTTTCTAACTTTCCATTGATGAGAAAATACCACTCTTAATTCTTGGCCGACATTCTTTGGGTTATTGGACTTGTAAAGCAAAATTGAAGCCATGAGGCCCAGCCTCCACACGCAAGTATTTCTTTTATGTTAAAACAGTGTTACTTATTTCTGAATTATAAAATATTAATTCAAGAATATTTTAAAGAAATTCTTCAGTAAGTTTAATTTAAAGGTATTGAGACAGCAGTGAGACAGTTATCTAATATAATATTACAATGGAGTTTGAACTCAAATAATAATTCTTTTACTCGGTTCGTTTGAGTGCATTATTATTTGAAATAATATGCGTATAAAATATATGTTTTAAAAACAATACTTCTAAAGTCGCCATTGACTCCGATGTTACACATCTACAATGAATTTCTAATTACATATTAGAAATTACTTATTACATATTTTTATTACTTAATTTAATTACTTAATAATATAATTTAATTTAATTTAAATTTAATTACTTAATAATTTAATTTATTATTAATTACTTAATGCTTATTATTATAATTGAAGAACTTTCTAATTAAACTTTACACATGAACAAGCCTAGACTCAATTGCGAACAGATTCAGTAATGCTTCATACATCAATTTTTTCTTCGTCCAGCTGTGTGTTCACGCGGGCGTTCCCTGTGACCCCGACCACCGTGACATCGTAGCCACGGACGCCCTGCTGGTGAAGGGACAGCAGTTCGTGGCAGAGGTCTTCCCGTGCTTGCATGCTCAGCCTGTTATAAAAGAAGCATGCATGTATACCGTGAGTTATAACAACCATATGTTTTAATAGATCATTAAATCGTAGAATTGTAACATGAAAAAAATGCTATCTGCTATATGATGTAATATTACTGATAGAAACTTTATTATTTTTTTGTAATATTTATAATAGATCATTAAATCTCAGAATTCTTCTATGGACTGTGAGTTATTCTATTCTATTCTTCTATAACGGTGAGTTATAACAACCATATGTTTTAATAGATCAATTAATCGTAGAATATTGTAACATGGAAAACAAAGGATATCTGCTATATGATGTAATATTACTGATAGAAGTTTTATTTTATTTTTTTTCATTTATAATAGATCATTAAATCTTCGAATTCCTATATGGAAAACAAAATGATATCTGCTATATGACGTAATATTAATGATAAAAGTTTTATTATTTTTTAACATTTATAATAGATCATTAAATCTTAGAATTGTTTAATGGAAAACAAAGGATATCTGCTATATTACGTAATATTACTGATAGAAGCTTTATTATTTTTTGTAACATTTATAATAGATCATTAAATCGTAGAATTCTTATATGGAAAACAAAATAATACATCTGCTATATGACGTAGTTTTACTGATAGAAGCTTTATTATTTTTTTGGTACATTTATAATAGATCATTAAATCGTAGAATTCTTATATGGAAAACAAAATGATATCTGCTAAATGACGTAATTTTACTGATAGAAGTTTTATTATTTTTTTTTTGCATTTATAATAGATCATTAAATCGTAGAATTCTTATAGGGAAAACAAAATGATATCCGCTATATGACGTATTTTTACTTGTTAGAAGCTTTATTTTTTTATTGTAACATTGCGCAAACTGTGTGGAAAGATCTGTGAAATTGGCACGATGTCGAAATTATTCGCTAACGTTTTCAACGGTTTATGCAATTACATTTAATGCAATTATTGCTTAATTCAAAGCTGAATATAATATATCAATGTTTCCATCTCATGTCCCTATGCGCCAGCTGACGCCTGATCAAGAAATGATCCTGGACGTCGTTCCAGGCCATCCCAACATTGCATTCGCTTGCGGATTTTCAGGTAAGCCCTGGATTTACCGGGCAGTGACCAGATAACCCAGCGCTGTAAAATCCAAATCTCATTTCAACAAGACGATGAAAGGGTTAACGTAATTTCAATGCCAGTTTTAGGGAGAAAATAAGTATTGTTTGATGGTAATGTTATTTTTTGGTATATGGTATATGGTCTACTCTAAGTTTTATGATATATGGTCAGTTTGAGTATGTTCAAGCTGAAGATATTGTTCTGAAAATAATATGAAATATCATAGTGAACTCATGTTAATGATCTTTGTCAGCAATAATGTATTCCCTTTTGAAGTGTGTCATGAACCACATCGTAATTGCAGTAGAACAAAAAGACGTCTAGGAAAATACCCGCCTTGTCTGAATTATAGCGAATAAATTTCAACTCATTGGAGACGGCATTTGTCGCTGGGATTCTTTACATTCGAAAGTTCCGCGAAAGGCAACGAATTATATAAATGACCAAATAACATTTTATTTTATGGTAGTAAAGCACAACGAGAAGCCATTATTTTTGGTAGTTCATCATTCAGAATTGTGAAAAGTTTGAATCTAATCAAAGATAGCTGAGCATTAGGCAACGATCGCTACACTATACATTCACATCGGACTGGCTAAGGATAGCAGCTACAGAATTTCCGCGATCCCGGTTTGTTAAGACGTCTTGTTCTGTAGGTTCGTTCGGTTCACGGGCATGGAAGTTACAACAAGTCTGTAGTATCAATTTATTTATTACCTTGCTACGACGTACATACTAAATTACAGCCCCATGCTCAGACGAATGAAAGGGTTATATTGTACAAAGTGTTGCTCAATTTCTCACCAACAGCTAGAGTTAAGAACGAACGTAGCACAGATAAGCTATCATGCTGAGTAAAACTGGGTCAGGACGGCTTACACAAGGGAAAAAGTCCATGTTTTATTTTTGATAAAATGTACTTTTTTTTTTTTGAGTGGATCTTGTTTGCTTAATTATTCGATGTATTTTAAGGCTTGCAAAATCTGAGCAGCGTGAGCTCGTAACTTGTCCAATTAAAACTTGTAGCATTTCTTAATATTATTCGTGCCATAAACAATGTACATATTTTGAAATAAATTTTCTCATGAGTCCCTCAAAATTTGTCGTGCAAAATTATGCTGATTACTATATAACATTATGGAATGACCATTAGGAGAATTATAATTTGTAAATTTATAAAGTAAATTTTCACACTGTAAGTAATCTGAATGATTTACTTGCTTATACATGATTGATCCCTGAAATTTAAGATAACTTTCATGAAAATTCACTTCTCATCTATGCTACACTATTTAAATTCTTCATTTCCAACACACATGCTTCAGAATCATCATTGATTATATTTATAAAAGTTTTACAAAAATTTCTACCTCTAAATAGAATTGTTTAAATCTAAAGAAATTTCATGCAACTAAATTAATTTATCTTGTGAATGAAATAGAGTATTAGATTATTAAGTGACATGTTTCTCTGGGGAAAATAACTTCTTTATTCTTCTTAATAACTTCGAGAAATAATTGGCCTCTGCCTTTAAAATTCAGGCTATTTTCCAGAGTGAGTCATCCCGTAAGGGATGCCAAAAGTACTTTGCGAAATACTTACTCTAAGGAAACGGATAACTACTAATTTAAGAAATACGGAGTAGTACTTACTTTAAGAAATACGGAGAAGTACTTACTTTAAGAAGTATTTAATTTAGGAAGTACGGAGAAGTACTTATTTTATGAAGTACGGAGAAGTACTTACTTTAACAAGTAAAAAAAGTATTAACTTTAACATGATCGGAGAATACTTATTTCAAGTAGAACGGAGAAGCACATACTTTAACCTAAGTTCTTCTCCGCAAGTATCTACCAAAATTGGTTGTAATTTTGTCCTCTTGTTCAATAAAGGCGCGGGGTTCAAGATCGGTCCTACAGTTGGACGTCTGCTGCGCCAGCTGCTCCATGGAGAGGAGCTCGATCACGACATAAGCCGCTTCCGGGCCGCGCGGTTCACTAGGCCGCAAGCCAAATACTAATAGTTGGGGGCAAAATAATTAATTTCTTATATTTTCCTAATTGTTACTAACACGTAGTGTTGGTAACACTACGGGTCACTATTTTATATAGTGACACGTGTTTTTTGTCACTATAGCAACACGCTACGTGTCACTATTTATTTTTTCACGTGGATACAGATAGTATCACGTAGCACTGAGGCGCCCGTTTGACAGCGCTTGAGTTAAAATAAATAAAATGCTTATAATTTCTGGGTATGTAGCATTCAAGTCTTTTTATCTGTGCTTATGAATTAGAAAAGCATGTTTCTTTTGCATCACAAAAATAACAGATAAATATGGCTTTAAATTTTAAGAATAAAGGTTAAATTCAGTTATTAATTATCCTGTTGAATTTAAAATATCCCCTGAAATTTTTTCATTGAAGTCACTTCCTGGTAAAAATTTGTGAATGAAATTGATTCATAAGAAGGTGGTCTCGAACAGCTAAAGACTGTCAATATCACACAACCACTCTGAAGCTGGCTACCCGAGAAGCTTTTTAAGTTATTCCTGTGCAGCTGCCTGCCGTCTGGAGCAGAAGAGGCCTTTTATATTTCTAGAAAATATCTTCTTATTTCTCAAGGAAGCAGATCTCTTTATCGACATTTCAGGTACGAGAGTTAGAGGGGCAAATTGGGCGCAGCAAAAGTTTACAGAAGCTGAGCAGCTTCTAAAAAATCGTGCAACATCAGCACTTTTGTCCCTTCAAGTCAGGGCATTTGGACGGGGCTTTAGAGGGCGGCAGCTTTATACTAATCTGCTTGCTCTGCCTTGTCGCTTATTAAGTGAACCGTGATATTTACAAGTAAAGAATCTAGTAGATGAATGCTGTTTCTGACATATTTTTACGATGCTGTTATTTTAGATGCTTAAGAAACATTTAGTATAGAATTGTTTCCTGTAGATTAATGCTGCTCCAAATATATTTTTGCTATTCATCTATTTTTGACGCTTAAGAAACATTTATTAAAGAGTTGTTTACAGGTATGAATTATATTTTGGTTCTCAACAGCTTTCGGGGATATGATCGTCGTTTAAAAATTAATGTATTCGATCATTAGTATCAACTTCAGTTTAAATGTCACAAAACCCGCAGAAATAAATTATGTCATGCAATACATTGGATGTCAGACTCAGACGGCATATCCATTAAGTTAAATTATCAGCAATCAGATATCAAATACATTCATGCATTAATTTTATACGAGTACTATCTTAAAAAAATTTTAACTGATGCGGAATTTCGAGCTTTTTCCGACCTTCTGATTGCCACTCTTAAATATGTTTTTTATTAAAAAAGCAGCTAGGCTTGAGAACACAAAGTCACATTTCATTCAGTTATATAGGTTGATGCCAGAAGTTTTAATACAATGGTCACATGAAAGCTTGACTTCTAATAGTATTTTTTTTTCTAAATCAATTGAATCAAATTTAGGATTGTTTTTATGTATAATTTTTTATTTAATATACGTTACGTCTTATGTTGATAAATGATAGGTTGCTTACAATGAATATTAATGTAGGGTTGGCTTATGAAATTCGATGCCACTCGTCGATTATTGAACCTCCAATATTGTACTTCTAAAGAGTTCAGAACGATATAAACATTAGAGATGCTATAGAAAAATGAACATCACATATCCGATATTTAAACTAAAATAATTATTTGGGGGCATTTATTCGGTCCCAATGAAATGAATAGCACGAGTGAGTAATATAAAAATTACATTAAAATACAGCTTCAGAGGAGTGAACAATGAGAATTTTCATCATAAGAAATCCCTTAAAATAATTCTACTCAAAGACCACAGTGAATCAAACAACTCAAACTAAATTTACCGCCCTCATGCAATCTGTATAATAATGGTTCTACTCAGAGAACACAGTAAATCAAATAACTCATACCTAATTTACCGCCCTCAATTCAATCCTTATAATAATCGTCCAAGTGGAATCTGGCGCAAAGGATTTATACAAGGAACAATAAAAGCGCCAGGTTTCAGAAGTGCCTCACAGGAGAACCTCATCACTTTAGTCATCATACTGGGCTGATAGCCAGCATCCTCCTGAGAGGAAGCCTTTTCTTGGCTCCTCAAGAGACTCAATGTCAGGGGAAATTTTTCTCCGTGACGAAGCCCAACGTAACGCATGGACATGTCCGTATTACTGAAGGGACTTCGGTAATGGCTTGACTTGTGAACGCCGAAAGCAAGCCAAGTGAAATGTTCTGTCGCAACTTTCAAGGAATGAGCTTCAGTCGGAGCAATATTCTTCGAGTCTGTGTGCTCAAATTTGTCTTCGTGAGAGTATAGGAACTTTATGAGACTTTGAGAAGGAACTTATTGAGGTCTTGATGAGAGTATGACATGCGTCTGCTACTCAACATTTTTCTGAGTCGGGTAATACTCAGTACATTCGATTTGATGAAAGCGTTTCAACAACTTCTTGATTGCTTTCACGAGACGCAAGGAGCAATTTCGAACATTTCTGTTTTCAGAAATGACCAGAATATTTTTTCTTATCACAATCTTCATGCTCATAGAAATAGAATTGTTGAAAGGAAATGATTTCAACGATTTTTAAAATTTCATATAATTAAATTAGTTTATCTTGTTAAAGAATTATTAGATTATTAAAATGAATGAAGTAGCAATTCCAATCAGTTTGAGGCCTATTAACTTAAAAAAATTATTCCTAACATTCCTAAACCTATTCATATGACTTTTTTTCTCTGGAGAATAACTTCCTTATTCTAGCTGTTTTCTAGAGTAAATCATCCTGTAAATGATGACAAAATTACTCTGAGAAGTACTCACTTCAAGAAGTTCGAAATGTACTAACTTTAAGAATTACGAAAAAGTACTAACTTTAACATAATGGGAGAATACTTATTTCAAAAAGTACGGAGAAGCACATACTTTATTAACGTAACCGCTTCTCTGTAAGTATCTACCAAAATTTGTTGCAATTTTGTTCTGTTGTTCAATAAAGGCGCGGGGTTCAAGATCGGTCCTACAGTTGGAACATTTTATGAACTCTTGTGTTTCAGCATAACGAGGGCAGGGTGTAGTTATGATGTCAAATGCCACGGCAACATGTGGCCTCATTCAAGCCTTGGTCTTACGGAAGGACGACAACTTTTGAACAAAGTTCATAATATTGCCAACAACAGAGGCCTCTCAGGAACTATTTCATAAGATACTTGAGTTTTAGAAAAGTTAACGACACGGACACTCGCAAAAATTTAGGAGCCAAGAGGACCGAGAATGTTTAGAAACTAGACGAGTTTGCTTCAAGAATTTCTATTGCTGCTTTTTCTGCCAAATAATATTTTGTTATTGAACAATTGGCAGTGTTTTCAGATGAATAATTTCAATCGCACTAACTGTGCAGTGTAGGAAAACCGATAATCAGATGAGATAGCACAACAACAACAACTTTTTTTTATCAAAATTACAGGGTTGTTCATGTATGATTTTCATCTTGCAACTGAACTTTATCAGTTGGTAAAAGCTGGCGGTCAGGGAATTATCTTTTTATAAAAGCATAATCTTAAAAAATCTTCTCAAGAAAGGTATAAGCACACTTTAAGATAAATTAAATGCGATGCATGCGTCGGCATTACCTTTGTCCTTCATGAAGATGAAAAGAATTTAATCCCCGGCAGCTTTCAAAGCCATTAAACTGGAATATCGCTGCTTTTATGCGGAGACGATGTGTGATTATATTGAGCATCGTTTATGGAAAGCCCCTTTTAAAGAAGCTCGTTGTTGAAGACACTCGCGCTATATGAAGTCAATATAGACACCAATGATCTCCCTAAACCCACTGCCCTTCGCACGGACATCAAAGCCACGAGTTGGGATACTAAGACTGCATGAAAGAGTTTCCTAAAAGCTCACTTTTCTAACCAAAGACATCTCCGCCGTGAAGAAATTTGAAGGCGTTCATACCTTTGACTGCGGTAACGCCATGACATGACGTTCCTAGATTATGCTGGGAAATTATCCCAAATAATCCAGGCATAATATCCCTGGATTATTCCCAGATTTAATATCCAGTGATATATCCCCCTAATATCCCAGGGATATATCCCCCCTAATAATATAATATCCCTGGATAATTATCCAGGGATATTATACCAAAAATTCAAAATGGCTTTAACGTGGATTATAAATGAATAATACGAAAATAAAGCTGGTAGTGGCCCCAGACATTTGCGTATAATCGTGTAATAAAAGTTATCGCCATTGAAAGAAGGATGAAAAACACTGAATGATAGATAAAAGGCTATAAAAAAGTCAAACTTAAACTACAAACAAATATGTACAAGAATATAACCGTGTGTTCTCTTTGTTCTAGTTCTTACTTTGGACACCAGATTAGGTAGTCTGAAATCTGCAAATAAACAAGAATTTAGAACTAGCAATAATTTATCAAGATAAGCAGAATATTTACGAATAAGATAAATAAATAATAAACTGATAATCATAATCATGAACCCCTCAAAATAACATCACTCTAAAGTAATGCAGGTTCTGAAGCGTGCTGGAGCGACTGAAATTCATGGTTCAGGAGGGAATTGATTGCTTTCACGAGACGCAAGGAGCAATTTCGAACATTTCTGTTTTCAGAAATGACCAGAATATTTTTTCTTATCACAATCTTCATGCTCATAAATTACTGAAAGTTCGTCGTAGCGATTCATTACTGCTTTAAGTTTCTATTCTTATTGTTCTTCTTTTATGCCTGTCGTTTTTTAGTGTTTTTTATACCAGATTGTAATCATTTTAAAACAATTTCTACAAGGAAGTTGGCCCCAAAATTAGCCCCAAATTTAAATAAAAGGTACTCTGAATATTTTAAAATGTTTTTCAGCTTATTGTCATTCGAAAACATTTCAAGAAAGCACCCATTGCAATAAGCTGCGTATAAGTTACGTCGGAAAGCATTCTTTATGATCGCTTCTTTCTAATAATAAATAATCATCAACACTTTCGATGAAATAATTCAACTGTTTTAAAGCGATTGAATTTGACTCTATAGGGGCCAATCGTTAACATAAGCCAACCTTCTTATCGATGTTAGCCTGTAGTCTCATCAGTTATGAGGCTAATTAAAATGGTCTATTGTTCACAGCTATTTTATTTGTGAGATTTGTATTCTATTGGGAATTTTCATTCATATTCGAGCACTGTTCGATCATTAAAAGATATATTATGCGAAACAAAAACGAATTTAGAGGTTCGGATATAGTTATTCATAGACGGCACATTGAATCTTTTGTGTGGTGAGTTATGTAATAATGAAATAATTCCCAGAAGTTCGTTCAATCTTCAAA